GGCCGATGAGCCCTCCGAGCAGCGACTTCCGGGGTTAGGGATAGCGGAAGCGGAAGCGGGTGGCGGAGCGGATCTCCATGGCAACGGGAGGCGCTAATTCGGGTGAGTAGGCTGAAGCGACTGAATCGCTGCGAACTCCCGAATCTCCGCGCTTCCGGGTTGGGCCCAGGCCGCCCGCCAATCAGGGACCAGCACGGGTTTCCATGGAGACTGGAAGATGCGCTAATTCGGGTGAGTAGGCTGAAGCGACTGAATCGCTGCGAACTCCCGAATCTCCGCGCTTCCGGGTTGGGCCCAGGCCGCCCGCCAATCAGGGACCAGCACGGGTTTCCATGGAGACTGGAAGATGACGTTGGCGCCTCGTTCTAACCATCAATTGCATCACAGCTTCGTGTGTGACGTCACCGTATTATAGGCGTCCTCTCCCATTGGGCGCTGGGTGGCGAGACCCCCGTGAAGGGGGCATTACACTGCCAGGCGCTGACTCTGCCTGGGCACCCCCCTCTGTGGGAGAGGGCCTGTGCCCCTAACAGCCTGGCACCCTTGGGCGTGAGTGGGGCCATGACGAGGCATCCTCACAGGGAGGTCCTGGGCCTGGCCTTGTTGGGTTAGTGTGTTGCTGCATTGCATCGCTCTGGGGGGCCTGGGCATCATCCTACTGCATTACGCAATGGGCTGGGTAGGTGTTGTTTCATGGCATTGCATCATAGGTGACTCACGGTAGCAGTCATGGGGTGTGCTCCTGTCAAAATTGTAATTGCTAAATGGGGTGCCCCCCATACCCGCTCTCTGTTCCTCTGGGAGGCCCTCCTTGCAACCCCTCCCCCGACTGGCACCAGTCATCTATGTCAGTGGTTTTCACACTTTTTTTGTCATGAACCAGTTGAAGAAAATTGTTGATGCCTGCGACCCAGCATAGTTTGAGTACGGTATGGCCTCCAGGGTGGCACTGAGGATGAGCGCTTTGGGGTATAGGAGGCGGCCCAGGCTTTGGGGGTGGGTCAGGGCTGGAGCAGGAGAGGCTTACTTTGAGCTCCTTTCAGTTAGCAGTGCAGTGGGGGTGCCAAACCAAGCTTCCTGCCTCTCATGGAACCACAGACCATGCCATGCTACAGAAGCAGCCAGCAGCAGGTTCCCAGCCAGTGGGAGTGCGGAGCTAGTGCTCAGGGCAGGGGCAATTCACAGAGCCCTGTGTGCCCTCCCGCCACCCATCCCCCACGTAGGAGCCAGGCCTGCTGCCGGCTGCTTCTGGGGCACAGTGCAATCTGCAGTGGAGGAGCAAGGGCAGGCCTTAGCTCCTCCACTGATCACCTGATCCCCCTGCAGCAAGACCCAGTGCCTGATATTCTATGACCCAGTACTGAGTCACAACTCATAGTTTGAAAACTGTTCTGTGGCAATGCAGTGTGGGGGTGGTAGGACAGCTTCCTGTTGCATTGTGCCAAGGTGTGAGGAGTATCCCACTGGGGCACTGCACTGTGTGTGGAGCAGGGTATCTTCTCTATGTAACTGGATAGTGATGTCATCTGTGGTATCACAGATGTGAAATAAACTTACATTGCTGCACCCCATGGGGAGGGAGAAGGATATTTCCCCATCAGCCTGTGGTGATGAGTTGACTAGTGGGAAAGTACATGGGTGCATCTAGACTAGCAAGATTTTGCGCAGAAACTTGCCAGCTGTCTACACTGGCCGTGTGAATTTGCGCAAGAGCACTGACTTTGTAATGTACAAAATCAGTGCTTCTTGCGCAAATACTTTCACGCTCCTGCTCAGGAAAGAGCCCTCTTGCGCAAGAATACTTGCACAAGAGGGCCAGTGTAGACAGGGAAGAACTGTTTTGCACAAAAAAGCCCCGATGGCTAAAATGGCAATCGGGGCTTTCTTGCGCAAAATCACATCTAGACTGGCCACGGATGCTTTTGCGCAAAAGCACTTTTTGCACAAAAGCATCTGTACCAATCTAGATGTGCTTTTGCGGAAATACTTTTAATGGAAAAACTTTTCTGTTAGAAGTATTTCCGCAAAATCATGCCAGTCTAGACGCAGCCCATGTGTTTGTATGTGTGACAGTGCTAAGGTCCTTGAAGATTACAGCCCAAATCAGCATAAATTAAGATATATATGGCAGGAGTGGGGAACCTTTTTTGGGTCAGGGGCCAATGACCCACAGAAAAATAAGTCAAGGACCAACACACAAGTGAGAAGCCAACTCCCCCCCTCCCCCCAACTGATGTGGCCCTCAATTGAGCAGCAGAAAAAATTTACACTTCCTTCACTCATGCAACTCAGGGCACCAGGGTTCCTCTCAAACTCCAGCCCTGTGGAAGGGGCAAGGCTCAGGGCTCTCCCCCAGGACTGGATTAACTCTTCTGGGGGTCTGGGGCTAGTAGATTTTGTGGGGGCCCCTAGGCTTTGAGGTGGGGCTAAAAATGAGGGGATTATTGTGCAGGAGACGCCTGCTAGGGAGTAGGGTGGGGTGCAGGGTCTGGGTACGTGGTAGTGTGCAGAGGCAAGTGGGGGTATGGAGTCTGGGCAGGAAGTAGGGTGCTGGAGCAGGTTGAGGACAGGCATCAAATCTGTTATTCCCTCTGAAGAGGAAGTGTCATGTTCTGAGATCAAGCATGTAAATGTGTTGAGCTCATGCATCCCAGTGTATGGCTTCACTGCAAAGAAAGGTGTAATTGCAGTGCGGGTAAGCATACCCACACTAGCTTTAATTGACCTTACAGGGTAACCATAACAGTGAAAATATGGTGGCATGGGCTGCAGTGCAGGCTAACAATCCTAGCACTAATTGGCTGCAGGGAACCCTTGGTATATGCTTGGATTGCAAACCATGCTAAAATCCATGCTCCCACAGCTTCACTACCATTGTTGCCTGCTCTCAGTAGATTAAAACTTGTCTGGGTATGTCTATCTGTGCTAAAATTACAGCACATTAATTTGTGTTGTCAAGGTATTCCAGTCTACGTAGTGGTTAATATGACTGGTACGTTCCTGGGGTTTACCACCTTTCTTAATTTGAAGTAATTTTGTCATCACAACAGAGGAAAATAAAAAGAGGGCATGGGAGATTCCCTCAGTAACTTTTCAGGGGTCAAGGCTTCAATAGATTAGCTATATCTAAGTAAGTATTAAGGTTGACTTTGAATTAATAGAGACTGAGTAATGGGATTCTAGAATGATCGAGGGCCATGAACAGAGAATGTTCTTTTGAGTTGACTCATTAGAAGTTGAATATGATTTACTGACTCCTGGCCTCACTGTCATTTACAGGGCTTCACAATGTCTTCCCAGGAGGGAAGAAGAAAAGTGCCAGCTGTCCCAAAAGGAGCCGGTTTCTGGCATTCTCCTGGGATAACTCAGTATGGACAAGAAACAAAAGAGCTGTTGAAAGGTAAAAGGAAGATTGAATGGAGAACAGTGAACAGGTCTTTGACACACACCTCCTTAAATTTGTATCATGCTTCCCGCTTCACTGGATCATTGTTCCATTTATAGCAGCAGTTTGCACATTTTAAAAAACAATCCAAAAAACTCTACTGCTCACACAATTCCCCTCCTCCTCCACCTGTGAAGAAGATGAAAGAGAGAATGAACCACATCTAACAGATGTTAGTCACATCATTTGATGCACTACTGGAAGGTGCCCAGGTACTACAGTGATTAGGATGGTAAAAGAACTTACCTAGAATAGAAAAAACATTAGTAACTCATGTTGCTCCTGATGCTTGGAATGCGCTTCCTAAATCCATTCTCTCCTTCTTCCTTACCTCATTCACTAACTCCTAAAGACTCCTGCAGCACCCAGGCCTGCTGACAAGGAGGGCAAAGAGAGCAACTGCCCCCAGGGCCTGGCAATTCCAAAGGGCCCAGGGCTCACAGCAGTGATGGTGGCCAGAGTCCTGCACAGCACTCTCTGGATAGCTCTGAGGGCTGGTGGGATGGAGGGGTGGCACAGTCTATATACTGCTAAGGACTGGCTGATGCCAGCCCTGCCCTTTCTGGAGCGCCTGACACACACCTTGCCTAGAGGCCCGGCAAGTCTTTCTGCCCCCTTGGCAGTATCCTTTCCCCCATATATACAGTTCAGTGGTTTAGAATGTGTATCTGCCTAAACTGACTGAAAGTATTATTCTATTACCATAACCCATGCCATTCATCACCCTTCCCTTTCTTGCTCTCTGATACATTCTTACATCTCCTATCCAGCATTTAGTATATAAGCTTTTCAGGACAGGAACCTGTCTTGTATATATTTCCTATAAAGTGCCTATCTTATCCAATCTATCTGTCTCTCTGGATTTTTACATGATACTCAAGCACACTTAGGGGTGTTACAACATACTAAATAACAACCTAGTTCTGTATCCCTCCTCCAACTGTAACCAAAGTAGATAACATAAAATCCCTTTGTTGTACTAATTCCACATGACTATGCCACATGGGTAATGCCATCCTGATCCCCTAATTGATGATCAGCTAAAGGATTAGGCTCCATAGCTTGTTTAACTAGTTCCCTTGCTAGACAGAGTTACTGCAAATGCTGTTCTCATTTGCTTTCAAGTTTGGGAGAACGGTTCTACCTCTACCACTGCCTTTACACATCATTTTCAAAGACAGTGTTTCCTTTTTTATGAAGGTGAACACCAGTACTTTTGTAAATTAGGCACTTATTTAGGTGCATAACATGGATTTAGTAAACTAACTTTAGGCACTTACATCTGAAATTCGCAGCCTAAATACTTTACAAATCATGAATCAAAGGATTTTTATTACAAATATGGAATTTCTGCCAAAGTCATTCCCTTCTTCTGTATTGGTTGTCTAAAGTAGACAGGTAGTTCCTCGTGCTGTTTCTGCTGAGTTCTCAGGCTGGGGTCTTTAAAGATTTTTTTTTTCATTTCAGTGATGATGGAGGAATCCAAACTTACCAATTTCCAGAAACGCCACCTCACAGACTGCATGAAACGTGAGTGATGCCTCAGCTTTGTCCACCTGCAACCAACACACACACATGCTGCCTTCTGCTTACTGCATATTGATCTCCTGCTCCTAACCCGATGAAGCATTCATGTGACCCAGATACACAGATCATTCTTTTTACAGAGGATTTTTACCTATAGACTGGTGGAAGGGGAAGAAACCAAAAGGCAAGAAATGAGGGTGGGCTAACAATTCCCTTCTTTTCTACATTTGGTTTACCACAGCTGTTCTCATCTCTTTCATCATTCCACAACAATAGAGGCTACTCTCACGGGGTACATTTACATGGCAGGGCTATAAGTTGAGTTAAGCTATGCAACTTCAGCTACGTCAATGGCATAGCTTAAGTCGAAATAGCTTAACTTGGCATTAGGCGCTGTCTACACAGCAGGAAGTCAAAGGAAGAACAGTCTTCTTTCGACTTCCCTTACTTCTCGTAAAATGAAGGTTACATGGGTCGGAGTAAGAAGTCCTCCAGCTCAACATTATTTCAAAATAAAGGCTTGTAGTGTAGACGTGTTCTTTGTTATTTTGGAATAACTACAGTTATTCCGAAATAGCGCTGCTGTGTAGACGTACCCATGGAGTGCAGTCTTTCTCTTTTGAACCCCCCATCTAATCACCATAATTTAAGGCAAAATTTGGTAGCTATTAACTTTCTTTAGAAGGACTGGATGGGGTTTCCCCCCACATAATTGTCCAGGGAATGAGACCTGTTATACTGGAACTGCATTATGTGGCCCAGGCCATAGACTCTGCTGTTCCTAACTTGCCATTGTTCTCCCTTTCTTTCCAGGAGGTGTTTCCCTCCCCACTCGCTGCAACCCCACATCCAGCAAAGACCCACAGTTTGCAGAGCCTGCATCTTCTCCACCAAAGCCTTGTCTTTCGGTCAGTCTGTTGGCCAGACCTCATCTCCGACCTGCCGAGATCTGCCGAGCAGGCGATGCCTACAGCCGAGAAAAATTCAAGCCTCGGGCCACTCGTAAGTGAGCAAATTCTGCTAAGGGATCAGTTTTGCCTCCTCTCTTTCTCTGCTTTCTAACCTCCTTGTTCCTTCTCGCTAATCCACTGGCAGGTGCACAAAAGCCACAGCTATGAGAAGACTTTTGACAGTGCCTATCTTCACTGATGATCACCTCCCAACCATGCTGGCTGGGTGACTCAGTGGCAGAGTAGGGTGTCACTTTACTGTATTCAAACCAATTATCACATAACTTTATGGCTTATAGATGGTATCAGATCCCTGATGTAAATGTTGCTGGCACTTTTGCTGCCACTACAGTATCAGTAGTGCAGGGGTCAGCAACCTATGGCTTGTGAGCCAGATGTGGCTCGCAGCTCAAGCTCAGTCCCTCCTTGCTCCCCCCTCGCCTCCCAACAAGGAGCTTATGCTCCAGCCTTGTGCCCCCTACAAGATTGGAGCCAGTGCCAGCTTTCTGCCAGGGGAGGGGTAGAGAAAGCCTTGAGCCTCATTACACGATCAGGGAAGAAACAGAGCCACAAACAACTCCATGTGCGCACATTCCCCCTCCCCCAGCTGGGGGAACAGCAGCGCACAGACATGCTGCCTGGAGGCTTTTCCTGCTGCTCCATTGGTTAGTAAGAAGCCATGTCTGGGACTGGGAGCCGGAGAGCAGTATGGGGCACAAAAGCAAGTAAGTGCTGTCCAGACCCTGCATTCCCCAACCCCCTGTCCCAAGACCCTGCACCCCCACCCTGCTCCTACCCCCTCTCCCCAAGGCCAGACACCTGCCCCAGCCTGCTTCTGCACCTTCCCACCACCTAGCAGAAGTCCTATTAAATAAAATCTGTGAGTACAGGCAGGCCCCGGGTTACGTACAAGATAGGGACTGTAGGTTTGTTCTTAAGTTGAATCTGTATGTAAGTCGGACCTGGCGTCCAGATTCAGCCGCTGCTGAAACTGACCAGCGGCTGACTCTGGGTGAACAAACTTATCTGCTTGACAGTAACCACATCAGCACACCACTGTGCTGCCTCTGAAGCTATTGCCTTAACAGAGATATGAGAAAGGAATATGGAAATGACCAGAGTTGCTCTGCCCCGGGCTTCCTGGAATCAGCCGCTGATCAGTTTCAACAGGCTGAATCTGGACACCAGTTCTGACTTACATACAGATTCAACTTAAGAACCCCAGGCGTCCCCAAGTCAGCTGCTGCTGCTGAAACTGATCAGCAGCTGATTCCAGGAAGCCCGGAGCAGAGCAACTCTGCAGAGACCAGCAGACCAGGGAGACGCGGAGCAAAGCCGCGGAGCACGCGGGCAGCGGGACAGCCCAGACGCGCCGCAGCTGTCCCACTGCCGGCGTCCTCAGAGGCTTTGCTCCCCATCTCCCTGGTCTGCTGGAGACCAACAGACCAGGGAGACGGGGAGCAAACCCCATTCGTAACTGCGGATCCGACTTAAGTCGGATCCGCGTAACTCGGGGACTGCCTGTACACTGTTTCATTTATGCTATTATTAACCATGTCCATTATCTATAATATTAAGTTGTATATTTTCAATCATGCAAATGTTTATTCTTATACTGGCTCTTTGTTGACCAAAACAATCTGAATTTTGATGTAGTTTGGCTCTTTGGTTTGAAAAGATTGCCAACCCCTACAATAGTGCTTGTGCTGTAGATAAGATGGGAATGGAGATGTATGTACCATAATAGATATTTAAGAACACCATACTGGGTCAGAGCAAAGGTCTATCTAGCCCAGTATCCTGTCTGCCAACAGTGGCCAATGTCAAATGCCCCAGGAGGAGTGAACAGAACAAGTAATCATCAAGATATCCCTCTCCTGTCATCCATTTCCAACTCCTGACAAACAGAGGCTGGGGGTACCATTCCTACTCATCCTAGCTAATAAGTATTGATGGATCTAACCTCCATGAATTTATCTCATTCTTTTTTTGTACCCTGTTAAAGTCTTGTTTTTTCACAGCATCCTCTGGCAAGGAATTCCACAGGTTGACTGTGCTCTAGGTGAAGAAGAACTTCCTTTTGTTTGTTTTAAACCTGCATATTAATTTCATTTGGAAACCCCTAATTCTTATGTGATGGAAACAAGTAAATAACTTTTCCTTATTCACTTTTTCCATACCAGGCATGATTTTATAGACTTCTAGCATATCCCCCCTTAGTCTCCTCTTTTCTAAGCTGAAAAGTCCCAGTCTTTTTTTAATCTCTCTTCATATGACACCCATTCCAAATCCTTAATCATTTTTGTTGTCCTTTTCTGAACCTTTTCCAGTGCCAGTATATCTTTTTTGAGATGAGGCAACCACATCTGTATGCAGTCAAGATGTGAGCATACCATGGATTTATATAGAAGCAATAAGATATTTTCCAACTTATTCTCTAACCTTTTAAAATTATTCCTAACAGTCTGTTTGCTTTTTTGACTGCCGCTGCACATTGAGTAAATGTTTTCAGAGAACTATTCACAATGACTCCAAGAACTCTCTCGACTGATTATAGATAAATTAGTCCCCATCATTTTGTATGTATAGTTGGGATTATTTATTCCAATGTGCATTACAGTAATTCCTCATTTAACACTATAGATATGTTTCAGAAAACGATCATGTTAAGTGAAAACGTGTTATGTGGGGTCAATTTTCCCATTGAAAATAATGGAAAAAGTGGGGGTTGCGTTTCAAGCGGTGGCGACTGTTGGGACCAGGACAAAAGGGTGGGGGAAAAAGGGGACTGGGTTACAGCAGGGAGGAGAGGTGTTTGGCTCTGGGAAAGGGAAGGGGAGGAGAAAGGAGAGGGATTGGGTTGGGAGTATGCCCCTGTGATGAGTCTGCTGGGACCTGCACTGTGTCAGGCGAGGGGGGGTTACCAGGGAACAGTGCAGCGAGCAGCGAACCCTCTGCTGCTTTGCAGGGAGGCAGGGGAAGTCCTGCACAGCTGCCGGCGATGGGACAGCTGGGGAAATCGTGTTATTCTGGGGACGGTTGTGTAACTCAAAAAACGTTCCCTAAAAAAAAAATCATGCTATCACGAAAACATGTTAAGCGGGCACATGTTAAATGAGGAATTACTGAACTTTGCATTTATCAACATTAAAATACACTTGCCATTCTGTTGCCCGGTCACCAAGTTTTGTGAGATCCTTTTGAAATTCTTCACAGTCTGCTTTGGTCGTAACTATCTTGAACAGTTTAGCATCATCTGCAAATTTTGCCATCTCATTGTTTACAAATGATCTGGAGAAAATGGTAAATAGGATTGGTCCCAATATAGATGCTTGGGGGACACCAATAGTTCCTGTTCTCCAGTCTCACAACTGACCATTACCCTTTGTTTCCTTACTTAAGAGCCTTTAGTGAGGGACTCTGTCAAAGGCTTTCTGGAAATCTAAGTACACTATAACCACTGGATCCCCCTTGTCCACATGTTTGTTGACCCCCTCAAAGAACTCTAGTGGATTGGTGAGGAGGATTTCTTTTTACAAAAATCACATTGACTTTCCCCCAACAAATTACGTTCATGTGTGTCTGACAATTCTGTTCTTAACTATAGTTTCAACTAATTTGCCTGGTACCGATGTTAGACTTATTGGTCTGTCACCTCTAAAGCCCTGTACTTCCTGTGCAATTACTTCTATAGACTCTCCAGCTGTGTACGTCCAGGCACAGCTCTCAGCAGGACCTTGGCCAGGGGATTGTACTTCTGTCTCAGTCTACCAAAAATTGGTTTTCTTCATCTTCTATAGGTGACTTAGAGAGGGAGAAGGAAAGGCTCCAGAATATCTTAGCAACTGGAAAGGACATGGTGGAACACAAGACACAGCAGAAGCCAGTGCCCACAGAGGAAAAGGAAATTCCTGAACCTGACCGGTTTGAAGAACGTATGTATGAAAACAGGCCCAAGCCCAAAGGAAAGCCTTACATACTGGCCCCTGACAAAAGGCAGGGTGGTGAGCTTCATGCACTAGCGAACTGAAATTTGTCATGGCAGGTGGTGGATTACACATTATCTAGACACAAATGGTTTGTCTATGTAGGTATATCAGTAGTACAGTACCATAGCTATGCCAGCAAACTCTAACTGGCATTTAAGTGGTCAGAGTAATGTTCCAGAGCACATTTTGCAGAAAAGCGTCCGTGCCAATCTAGATGCGCTTTTACGCAAAAAAAGCCCCAATCGTCATTTTCGCGAGCAGGGCGCTTTTGCACGAAACAAATCTGAGCTGTCTACACTGGCCCTTTTGAGCAAAAGTTTTGCGCAAAAGGGACTTTTGCTCGAACGGGAGCAACATAGTATTTCCGCAAAAAGCACTGATTTCTTACAGTAGGAATTCAGTGCGCTTTTGCAGAAATTCAAGCGGACAATGTAGACAGCTGGCAAGTTTTTCCGGAAAAGTGGCTGATTTTCCAGAAAAACTGGCCAGCTTAGACACAGCCCTCTAGTGGAGATGCAGCTCATACTAGTAGAAAAGTGCTTTTGGCACCAATTCCCCAAATAAAATTAGCTACACTGGCAAAAACAGTTTTTGGCTAGTATAACTGCTCACAGCTATATCAGTTTGGAAGGTGTTTATTCACACTTCGAACTAACGTAATTGGCAAAACTTTTAATGTAGACTGGGCCTTAGTGGACCTCTGCTGTGTTTGGCATGTAGAATCCTCAGGTGATTCTCAACATCCTACTGCACTAAATGAGCTTTTACAAACACTCCCCAGCCCCGAATCCAGCTGTATTTCCTTTAGGCCAGAGGAGAAAGGAATAGAGATGATTATTTCTATCTGTAAGTGTATGAGGGGGGAGGTGCTATGATTCTATGGTGAGGGCGGCAAAGTCATTGTCGTTCTTGATATTACCTCCTCCCCTCAAAGTTGAGGCAATGATGGTGCATCCCCACTTCGACCGGTTCTGTCCATGTCTCTTTCTTTTGTGCTCAGTGGTGAATGAAATTCAGGAGAGGAAGGAATTCTTGGCAGAGATGGAGACTCTGGGCCAGGGCAAGCAGTATCGAGGGATTGTCCTCACTGAAATCTCACAGGTACCTTGGGAACCCATCTGACCTCTCCAGCAGGTTAGATTGAGGGAACTTTGGTGTTGGAGAATCTGATTCTAAGGTTTCTATCCAATATGTAGAGGTGGCCTAGATTTGAGAGGAGAGCTCAGCATTTTCTCTTAGGGGGTGAGGTAGAAAAAGAGGAATTAATTTAAGAGATTTGGAAGGAGGGGGGAGAGGTCTCAGCCCCTCTATCATTTCTGTATGTAATTTCACCGGTGAAGAGGATCCTTCAGTCTCAAGTTTGACAGGAAATAGGAGCTTCTGGCATTCTTACCCCTTCACCTTTGCTATTTGCAGAAACTGCGGGAGATGGAGATTATCGATAAGAAGAGGAGTAAAGACATGAGAGAGGCAATGGCAACAATCCTCGTCCCTGGTGGGAATAAATCTAATCTCAATAGCTAGACCAAAACCAGACACCAGAGCAGACCATTCCCACCCTTTCTTTCCTTGCCCTTCCAACAGGGCTGGGCTTTTACCATAGAAGGGTCACAGAACTTGATCTATCTATGCCTGTCCATCTAAGACAGATCTTTTCAGAGCAATGTCAGTAGCACTTGTTGCATAAACCCAAGAGGACAGTAACTATTTATGCATGATATAGACCAGAAGAAAGTCTTTGCAAAATCTTACCAACACTTACTAGTCTCCCTTCTTCAGGGGTGGATTTTATAGGCAGTGGTTTTATGGCTGGGTGAACCAAATCAGAGAATTAGCCTGATTCCCTCCCTTTAGAGGGGGGCCAGGAGGAGATGAAAAGACCTCAGCATCCTCCAGTGGCCTCTGAGACATGGTGAAGCAAGGTCTCCTTCTACCTATGGCATATGCCTTACGGTGTCAGAACAAAGCTGACCTGCGCAACGAAGTCCGGGAAGAAAAATCTTTGTCTCTTTTCCATATGGCCCAAGCTCTGGGGGGTTCTGGTTACTTCTGGTGGAAACTGAACATTAATGGGGTTCTTTATTTCCTCATTGCTGAATCTGTATCGCCACTCATATCAGCATAGTCTTTGGAAACTCTCAGCTGCTGTTGTGGAGCTGGAACGGGAGGAGTAACCACACTGCCTTACATAAATATTAGCCTGGATTTTAATCTGACTGCTTCTTGGTGAGAGTGTGTGCACACGCTTGTGTTCAGGAACTTGTCTCTTGCTCATACACTGAAACATGCTTCTATCCCGGGTTGGGCAAGGGGACGAGTTCACCTTGGGGTTCATGGTGCAGGAGAGACTGTTCCAGGAGCCTTCACTTTGTGTTCCTTGGGAGCACCTTGATGATTGACATGGCCAAAGGTAGCGTGGCCAAGGTATTAATAGATTTTAAAGCCAGAAGGGATCATTACATCATCTTTTCTAACTTCCATAACACAGGGTAAAGAATTTCACCCAGTTACTGTAGTATTGAATGAAGGGGCTGCTGGTAGATCCTGGAATCCTCACTTTCCGCCTTTTTTAGGTTCAGAGACTGAAATATTGTCAACAGTACTCCACCAAATCAGGCAAGTACTCAACATTGGGCTCAAATCCATAGCCTGGAGATTAAGAGATGTATATGCTAGCAACTGAACTAGCAAGGTACCTAAGATGACTCCAGCACACATAAGGATAGGCGACACAGAGTGGCAGTAGATGTTGTAACTCCACTGGTTTTATTTTTCTGCAGATAAATGGCAATGCCAGAGTTAGTACAGTGTAACAGTTTACAAATCAAAATACTGAAGAGAGCAGGATTGGGGGTGTCAGACTGCAGCAATCCTAACAGCCTTTAACAGTGGCTCGTCCGCATGCGACAAGACCCAATGGATTGCTTTGCTATGGAATCCCCCCGCCCCATGGATGACTATGGAAAGCTGGACACTGCTCCTTGGTCAGCCAGTTGAAGGTTGCAAGAATGTGAGCTAGAGGCTGAGTACACTGCTCCAACCAGTACCGGTGGCCCCTGAGAGCAAAATGATAAACTCAGCTTTCTCAATGGTTTTGTAAACAGGGTTCCCTTTCTATATATTCTCCAGCAACAGTCCAAGACACTGCTGGAAGCAAGAGTAGTTTGGGTCAAACCCGCAGTATTTTTATAAAAAGAATGCAGCAGTTTGTTCTGGGCTGGTAGTTACTCTACTAATAAGAAGGCAAAATAAACAGCTGACCAACCAACACCCACAAAACTCAGTGTCTAACTCGGACCAGTCAAACGGCTCAATAAATAGCTCCTAACCATGGAGAAGGCAGAAAAAAGGAAGGAGGGAAGAATGTTCTCCTCATCCTCCCAACACACGCACACAACAAATAAAACATGGGTTTAAAAAGCAGGGTGGGGTTGAATCCATCTAGTAATGAAGCTATCGAAAACCCCAATCCCCCCTTTTGCACTCTTTAAAAATATAAATACAGACAAAGCTGGAGAAGGGCCAGCTGAGTTTTCCCCCCTTCCCACTCCCCAGGCTGGCAGAGAGCAGCACTAGTGAGCAAGGTAACAGGACAACCTTGCTGACACTGAATAAAGTCTTGCACTTTTTTCCCCTCCCCTGGAAAAACAATGTTTCTTCCTCCCTGCCCCTCAATAGCTTCAGAGTGGGTCTATTTAGCAGCAGCAGCGAGGGTTAGATGTCCTAGGTAGGATATCTTGGCTATGTCCAATTGGACTCACCATAATCCTTTTTCCTTCTGGCCCTGTCATTCCTACCCAGCCCTAAAGCTCATGGGGCATGTGTCCTCCACAAGCAGGAGAGAGGTTACTTTTTTTTTTAGGAACTTGAGGCATGGAAAGTTGGGGGGTTCTTTTAGTTTTCATTAGTGCCAATAAAAGCCCCTGAGTCTTTTATAAAAGTTAAGAGTGGGAATTTAGACTGTAAGGGAGAGAGCTGGAGGTTGGGTTGGGACAACTGTGTACAGTCCTCCAAGGGAGAGGGTACGAGGCACGTGTGACTATCACAGTTAGAGTGAGGGACGGGGCAATTAGTGCAAGTTTCCCACAAACACCAAAATTCTTTACTTACTCAGACAGATAACAATAACAACACAACTGGATAATGTCTCCTAAAGCTATTTCACCTACTCCCCAAGGCTTATGGATAGTGGCTTTTCTCCTTTGATCAGGCTCCCCACAGCCTTAGAAAGGGGAAGCATTGTTGATCAGACTTGCCATGTCTCCTCTTTTTTGGGCGGCTCCACGACTCTGGTTGAAAGCTGAGCTCCCCTGGAGGAGTCAGCGTTGGCATGTGGGGGGTGATGAGAGGGGAGGTACAGCTGCTGGAGAGGAGTGGAAGGCAGAAGCCCCAGTGGCAGGGGTCCCCCCAGCCACGGGAAGGGCTGATGCAGTCATACAACAGTACATCCATCCTTGCTTCTAGCTTTCTCCTGCTCTAGCTTTTTTCCTTGGGTGACTTGCTTTTCGATTCATGTTTATTGCCAAGCAACTTCAGCACCTTCATGGGCTTGAACTTTCCTTTCTTCTTGCCCTCAGAATCCTTGTGAAATTCTGCAGGAAAAGTTGCAAGGGAAGGTTATTTGCTAAAGAAGACAGTCCATGGGTGATGTACACAGACTAATGCCTATTCACAAGAGACAGGTGTGATGCCTGCAGACTGGGGCAAAGCTATTGAATGTACACATCTGTGTGAGTCAGCGGTGCCTGAACAAACACACACACACACACACACTTTCATGTGGACCACTGTGGCTAGACACAGGAGACAGAGCTTTCTCAAGAACTGGTCCTCACAAACCTCACCACCTTCTGCTCCAAGAGCAAAACACATTCCTTTGACCTGCCTTCTCTCCCATAAACACATAGCAAGGTGTGTGTATATGACCTATACATTTTAAAACGCTCCCCTGCATGTACTTTCCCCCGGGGACAGGAGGAGAGGAGAAAACGTGACAGGGTTAATCAGATGGCATAAAGCATTTGCGGAAGATACTAAGGTGATAGGTGTGACATAAGAACCTATATAAAACAATAAATCCCCGGACAGACGGACCACGTTCACATGCATTTATACTAATTCCCTTTGTTCTTCTGCTTTCTCCTTGGGAGCAGGATTGAAAAGCCAGGATTCTGAAGTCTAGCACTACTGGAATGTGGCTCCCCTCCCATTCACTTTCTTACCTTTCTTTTTAATCATGGCTTCCAACATTTTATCCTCCTCTTCCTCTCTGAAAGAAAGTGAGAAACTGTTGAGTGGTTCCAGTCAGAGGACATGTCACTGTTGAGAGAGACATGCTCCCTACTGCTCAGGACTGACATGGTCATTGGCAGGGCCTGTGGTGAGTAGATTTCAGCCGGTCGCCCCATTCACCAGCGGCACGCGTATGCGCAGCGCGGGTCTGGTGCATGCGCGGTGCGGGACTGGCAAATGGATTTCGCTGTGGTTTGTCAAGCCCTGGTCATTGGGATCCCACAATCCCTTACTACAATTATGACATATTCCCCCTATGCATGTCATGGCTTCCAACATTTTATCCTCCTCTTCCTCTCTGAAAGAAAGTGAGAAACTGTTGAGTGGTTCCAGTCAGAGGACATGTCACTGTTGAGAGAGACATGCTCCCTACTGCTCAGGACTGACATGGTCATTGGCAGGGCCTGTGGTGAGTAGATTTCAGCCGGTCGCCCCATTCACCAGCGGCACTCGTAAGGAGCTGACTTTTAAGCCAGCTCCTGCCTGCCCCCCTTTGCTGCCTCTGTATCAGAGGCAGCAAGGGAAGGGGTTGCTGCATGTAGTCATTTAGATTAACTGATAAGACCAGGCTTATCGGTTAATCATTTAAACATATATACACTAAGATCCCGAACCACACCAGACATCATCCAGAGAAACACACATACCCCATCCCCACAAGTCAATAGCATCCATTTACAAAAACAAGGATCGGGGGACCCTCAGGAAGGTCTGTCAGTAACAGTAGCAGTGTGGTGTTGTGCCACATAGTACATGTTCACCCCGTACACCTGGCCTGCACCGTCTCTATTGTGTCACTCCAACAGGCAGTTGGGTTTTGGCCAGATCTCCCCCTTTCTGCCATGTTACCTCTGCCGGTCCTCATCCAGGCAGTTGACAATGGCATTACGTTGTTCAATAATGGTGACCAGCTCCTGCATCAGCACCTTGTCCCTCTCTCGGTCGTCAGCGGTCCAGTCCTTAGCTACACACCCCAGAAAAGACAGGGAGTTAAATGATTACATTTCCCTTCGGCAAGGAGCCCCAGACTCGGGTCCACAGTTCCATACAAGAGACCTGGATTTAATTACTATTCTGAGCCTAGCAAACGGCTCTCTGCACCTCCATGCTAGTTAGAATGATGGCTACTCCATACGGGGGCTGGGAGTGCAGTCTATACCAGAACTGGTGCTAGGCAGAGACTGTCTCATGTTACCAAATAGCCATCCTGCAGCCAGTTAAGGAGAAGTGTTAACATACATCGAAGGCATGTTCCATTTAGACCCTTTTGCCCAGGAACCAGCTACGACTGAAGGCATGATGATACTGGGGAGATCGAGAACCTGCCCAGGGTGGTATTTCACTAGTACAGAGAGATTTACCAGGCTTATTGAGAAGACACCGCAGTTCGTACTCCACATCAGCCTGACGTTGCTCCAAGTTCTGCTGCTTAAAACTGCGAGGAAAGAAAAGCATCATCACAAACCCACTGCAAGGCTCAGGGAACCCTTTGGAAAGCAGGTATCCTCTCTGGGAAGTCATCTCCAGAGGGGTCAGGGTTGAAAGTAACAACTGTGACCTTAGCCTTGCCCCCCAGGAGACTTGCCGTGAAAGAGCAGGAGCCGTGGCCATATTCCCAGCAATGCTAGTCCCAACCTCATCCAGTCAAGACTGACATAGGCGTGGGGGCTACAAGATGCTCACAGCCTTTTCCAGGCAGAGGTGCTGTGGGGAATGCTGCAGGATCACTGCCTATGGGGAAGCCCATAGCTCTTGTAGCCCAAGTGTCAGAGTCAGTTCCAAGTACATGTGGACAAAATGTCCATATCTTCATAGGTCTCTAACCACACCCATAAACAGGAAGCCTACCAGAGCCTTCTGGTAAAGCATTTCAGGTGGGAATAGGGAGGCTCTTCCATCCTCCCCAGCTTTGGAGGCAGTTGTTTCAGTGTGTTCCCCCTACTCACATGTAGATGAGCTCAGACTCACGGCGCACCAGCATGTGTTTCTCATGGATGAGTTTGAACCAGTCCACCAGCAGGCTGTCCTCAGGAGTGTCTGCCAGTCAAATCAGAGAGAGAGAGAGAGAGAGAGAGAGAGAGAGGGAGAGAATTTAGAGATAGAAATGTAGCCGTGTTAGTCTGGGGTAGCTGAAGCAAAATGCAGGACTATGTAGCACTTTAAAGACTAACAAGATGGTATATTAGATGATGAGCTTTCGTGGGCCAGACCCACTTCCTCAGATCAAAAACTTTTTTGATCTGAGGAAGTGGGTCTGGCCCACGAAAGCTCATCATCTAATATACCATCTTGTTAGTCTTTAAAGTGCTACATTGTCCTGCATTTTGCTTCAGAGAATTTAGAGACACTCCCCAGTGCTTTCTGCCCACACAACACAGCAGGCCAGGGCAGGGGAGGAGGAGGAGACATTTATAATCAATCTGACCTCATCCCATGCCTGAACACATGGGGAGGTGGAGTGAACCAAACAGTTCTCAGCCTCCCATAGAAAAGTGGTGGTACAAGTCCAATTTCTTCATACCCCAAGCCAGCTGGCATGAACCCACCCTTTCCCCACTCAATTCCCTTTACCTTAACACTCAACACCCTAACGTTCAGCAGAGAGCATATTATTACTACTTCTTCTTTCTCATTTCCTCCATAACAGGGGTAGTACAGCCCTTACATCCTCTGTGACACAACATCTCTTCTTCCCCTCTGTGATGTTACTGGATTTGGATATGAACATGCAAAACATTGTTGCAATCACACTTATACATTTGCACCAAATCTTGTGCAAAGTGGGCCAAGTGAGATGTCTACAGAAAGCCTACGGTTCACTGATTCTGTTTCTACTGCTCATATGCATGTATCAATTTTATATTTGAAGTTATGAGTATTGACTATGTACTTGTATTTCAAATGTTTGCTTCTGGGAGATCTCAGCAGGAGGACTGGCCAACCTATTTTGAAAGGACTGCTAGTCCAGTGAATAGCAGTACTTCACTGACAACGCACCCCACGTAGTGTCAATCCACATCTTAAAACTTTGCTGTGAACATTCAGACCAGCATGTAAGCAATGGCTGCTATGGAGCCATGCATGGACAGGTGACTTGCTCATTTGACAACTCCATCTGGGGCTTACTTTCACACAAGGAGAACAATGGAATTCCCTCCCTCCTGGGCAAGGGTATAAAAAGGGCCTTAGGGATTCCTCCATTTTTGTCTTCATTCCAGCCTATCACTTCAGGAGCATTTTTGCTATGAATTGAGCAATGAATTGCTATGAGAGGTAGCATTTTTGCTATGAATTGAGCAATGAATTGGACTGATTACTCATCCTAACAAAGGATGTATTCCAGAGATTTATAAAACAGCAGATTATTCCACCTCTGCTACAAGGCTGCACCAAAAGCTTTGCAATTGGTGTATGTAATTTGTTTCCTTTAACAATTTTACTCTCAGCCTTCTCTTTTTCTTAACAATTTTACTCTCAGCCTTTTCTTTTTCTTTTTAATTAATAAACCTTTAGATTTTAGATTCTAAAATATTGGCACAGTATGCTCTTTTGGGTAAAATCTGAGATATAAATTGACCTGGGAATGTGGCTGATCCTTTGGGATTAGAACGGGGTGGGCAATAATTTTTGATGGGGGGCCACTCCAAGATTTTGGAAAGTGGACAAGAGCCACACTTTTCTGTGGAGGAAATGGAGGGTCTAGGATGGAGGCTGGGCACAGAAAGGCGCATGGGGTAAGGGACTGGGGTGCAGGAGACGGTGTGAGGTCTGAGAGGGAGTTTGGGTGAAGGAGGTAGTTGTGACCTAGGTCAGGGTATTGGAATGTAGGATCAGGGAGGGAGTATAGGTGCAAGAGAGGATTCTGGCCTGGGGAAGGGGCTCTCGGAGGAGGTGCAAAGTCTGGGAGGAAATTGTGACCTGAGAGAAGGGAAAAAGGGGGTGCAGACTGCAGAGGGTTTGGGTGGTGACCTGGGGCAGGGGATTGGGGTGCAGAATCTGGGAGAGTGTTTGGGTGCAGGAGAAGATTCTGTCCTGGGGGAGGGTGTTGGAAGGGTACAGGATCTGGGAAGGAGTTGTGACCTGGGGCAAAGGGTTGCAAAGGGTTTGGATGGTGACCTGGGTAGGGAGTTGGGGTGCAGGAGAGGCAGGGGTGCCAGAGGCAGGCTCTGGCTAGGAGGTGGTTACCTAAGTGTCTCTTGGCCAGCAGCCGTGCAGTGCTCCCAGGCAGGCTGGGGCTCCTTGCCTGCTGCAGCCCCAGATGGCTTTAAACTGCAAGCTGTGGCTCTGGCTAGGAGGTGGTTACCTAAGTGTCTCTTGGCCAGCAGCCGTGCAGTGCTCCCAGGCAGGCTGGGGCTCCTTGCCTGCTGCAGCCCCAGATGGCTTTAAACTGCAAGCTGTTCCCTCCAGGTGGCTCTCAGCTCCAGGAGAAGGAAAAGACTTGCGTTGCACTCCCAGCCCAATCTCTCCGCTCCTATTGGCTGGGTGTTTCCAGCCAATAGGGACTGAGAGATTGGCTGGGATCAGTTCCTATTGGCTGCACTTTAAATCATGGCAGCTGCATGCCTGAGGGTCCCAGCAGGGTGGTCTACAGGCCGGAGGATCCGGTGGCCTGGCGGGCCAGATCCAGCCCCTGGGCTGTATTTTGCCCAGCCCTGGATTAGAAGAACTTGTACAGATTTGGTGGACTGGTTTCCATAACCTCTCATCTGCATAAGTGGTGCTGGTGGTGGCACAGGAGAAGCTGGAGTGTCTAAGGGGACTGCTTGTGTGACTTCTTGCTGGCCAGTGAGGCAAACAGAAGTGCTCTTTGTGACTGGCTGGTGTCTTATAGTGAAGGACCCCCAGACTTGGGCTGTAAAGAGCCCTGCCTTTAAGTAATTCACGCTAATTTGACCCTCTCAGTGGTGCTCCAGTAAACCTTGCTATGTTACACCCTCTCCCCATCCACACCCAGCCTCCTCAGTATAAACCACATTACCATTCTCAACACTGCGGAGTTTCTCCTCCAGTTCTACTCCTCGATGCTCTAGTTCATCCAGCTGCTGCTCAATAGTGTCCATCTCTCCGTAAATATCCTCCACTGGGACGTACTGATCCGCCTGGACCTACCAAACCACACAAGCAGGAACACCCATTGTCATGGGCAGCTGCTTTCCCTAGGCAACCCTGGGTCCATCTGCTCTAGCACCACCCTGGGGACCCAAAGCACTCCCTGACAGGCAGTGGAAGGAGCAGGGATGACCAGCATGCTGCTGTGGAGGAAGGAGAGCAATGAGAATGACCAAATAAGTCCTGGGGGAAACGACCCTGCTCCATCACGCAGACTAATGGCACTGCTGAAGGAAGATGCCCTTGCTGCACATGCATTAAAATCTCCCTCCACTGACAGCTCAAACTGGGCCCCAATTATCTTAGGGGAATGGTGCTGATACCCTGTGCCCCCCTCTATCAGCACACCCTTTTTGCCCAGACAACTCCCGTTTGAGGTCTGCCTGGGGGAAACGACCCTGCTCCATCACGCAGACTAATGGCACTGCTGAAGGAAGATGCCCTTGCTGCACATGCATTAAAATCTCCCTCCACTGACAGCTCAAACTGGGCCCCAATTATCTTAGGGGAATGGTGCTGATACCCTGTGCCCCCCTCTATCAGCACACCCTTTTTGCCCAGACAACTCCCGTTTGAGGTCTGGCAACTGCTGTGCCATAAGGTGAATCAGGACATGCCTGGGGCAGAATCTGGAGGGACCATTTCATTTCCCAAGCAGTGGGGAGAAGAGAGCGGGAGCCAAAGTGAAACTTTGGGTGGCTGGTGCTAGGCAGTCTGGCCAATCTGCAGGTCCCAAAGGGAGCTGCTAGTGACATAAGTCAATGTACACTCCTCTGAAGAGCACTCTAGGGAGTGTGCACACAATGGGGCTCTCGACCCATCCCCCAAATCCCTCCACAGCGACCCACTAAGGGAAGGGAGCCCCAGGCTAGATGCTAGAGAGGCAAATGGGGGCTCAGCAAGTAGAGCTGCAGACCCGGTAGACAGGGCGGAGGTGATATTGGCACCTCTGCTACTCTGCCTCCTTCACCTTGCGCTTGATCAGCGGGAAGCCGTGTCCTGGTGCAGGGGGGCGTGCTGGCTTGGATCCTTTGGGAGTTTTCTGTGCAGAGGGGGAGGTGACAGGCGATGACTTCCGGTTAAAGGGATTCTCTTTGCATGAAGACTAGGAAAAAAACCAAGGAGATAATTTGGTGCCCAGGAGAGAGCAAGAAAACATGTCCCAGGCAGGGTGCGACCACTGAGCAAACACCTTTGTGTAGGAACTGCCAAAATGGAGCACAGCAATGGTCTGGCTAAGCTTCTATTACTGCTTCTGCCACAGGACAGCCTGGTCTACCCAACTCTTATCTACATGAACAATCTCTTCAGCTGTAATTCCCCACCAGAGCGGCTCCAGAGCTTGGTTTGATACCAGAGGGCTAAAAGAACCCGAGCCCTTCTACATCACACTTTCTACTATTGCTTCTACTGCTGGAGTTGCATTCGTGGGGACCTGTAGCTACAAAATGTGTGTGTGTAGATAGCTCTTTGGATACTCTGGTATCGCGACTATGACAGTAGACAGCCTTGGGAGGTATAAACCCACAGAAGGCACCTCACTGCACCATGGGAGATGTGTCTTCCTGAAAAGCCAGTGGTTAGCATGCCTCGAGGCAGAAGGATTTACAGCATGGTCATTTTATCCCAGCCAATGTAACTGCAGATACTGTTCTTACCTGTATCACTATCTAACCCTTTTCTCCCCTAAGTTATTTGCATCAGTAATGTCATGGGGGCAGTGAGTTCCATAGCTTACCCATAAACAGCATGAAATGCTATTTTGCTTTGAACAGCATTTTCATTTGTCCTCATTTGTACCAGGAGACAGGCTGAATAAGAGCATGATTGTGTTCGTAAGAGCATCTTGTGTTTGTCTGTTTGTTGATTCATGTGCTGAGCTGTTTGTTTGAAGGACAGTGTGCTGAGGCTGGCAGTTGGAAGCTGTACACTTCTTTACGAGGATTCAAAATCTAGAAACCTCTGTTCATTGGTCAAGCCTTAGCCAGGAGGCAAGACTATCAGGAAGGCCAGGGCTTTCTAAAGCCTGCTAGAAAGCAACCAGGGAGCTTTGCGAACAGGGGCAGCTAACAGGGCATTTTGTGAGAGATTTGGAAGGGGGTTAGGTACACGTGACATTCTTTAAAACTTTTCAACTAAACTAAACTAAAATCTACCTGATTTAAATAAAAACCCTGACAAGAATCTAATTCTCTGTAGGAGAGAATGCAGGCAGAAGCCCAGCAGCAGAGTGGGGGCTATCCTGTTTATTGTACCCAAAGTAGCATGTATGATACCTGCCCTATGGACAGGTGGCATATGTGTACATTCGGTGCAAGGAGCTCCTGGCCCATACAGTCTTTGGAAGCCAGGGTGGCTGAATTGGAGGAGCTAAGGGAGGCAGAGAGGTACGTAGATGCGGCTTTCTGGGACACTGTAAAACTGTCCCACCTCCAGTCAGACAGCCCCTGTGCTGTCAAGGAGGATGAAAGGCTCAGGGAAGGAGAACACTCAACTGAAGCAGAAGGAAATGATCCCATCGTTGGGACCCTCCTTCCAGATGATGTTGCAGTATCCTTTCGCACTGAGGATACCTCTCTGAGGGAGGGAACTCCAGTCATTAGGAAAAGGCAGGTGTTAGTAATGGGGGATTTGATCATTAGAAACATAGATAGTTAGGTTTGTGATGACCGGGAGAACCATATGGTGACTTGCCTGCCTGGTGCGAAGGTTGTGGATCTCTTGAGACATCTAGATAGACTTATGCGTAGTTCTAGGGAGGAGCCGGTGGTCATGTAGGTACAATGACATAGGGAAGGGTAGGAGAAAGGTTCTGGAGCTCAAATTTAGGCTGCTAGGAAAGGAAATCCAGGACTTCTATGGTAGCGTTCTCTGAAATGCTTCCAGTTCTATGCGCAGGGACAAGTACGCAGGTGGAGCTTCAGAGTCTCAATGCATGGATGAGACGATGGTGTAGAGAGGAGGGGATTAGATTTATTAAGAACCGCGGAAACTTTTGGGAAAGGGGGAGTCTGTACAGGAAGGATGGGTTCCACTTAAACCAAAATGGAACCAGACTGCTGACACTGAATACTAAAGAGGTCATAGAGCAATTTGTAAACTAAGGGCTGGGGAAAAGCCAACGGGTGCAGAGAAGCACATGGATCACACAGAGACATCTCTTAGAGGAGGGTCTATTAATAGAGATTCTCTGTTCTGGTCAGGAGAAGAGGCTGGAAAATGATCAAGTTTGTCTGGAAACGGGTGACAGAGGAGGGATCACATGAGGATTACCGGTTGTGATCCCTCCCTCTGGGGTATCTGGTATTGGCCACTGTCAGCAGACAGGATACTGGGCTAGATGGACCTTCAGTCTGACACAGTATGGCCGTTCTTCTGTTCTTATGACTACCATCCCAAATCTTAGCTCCGGCTCTGACAGGTGGTGATATTTTGGCCCAAAATGAGGCACAAATGTGTTGAGAGCATGTTACTACTGAAAGCCGCAGTACAGAATCTCACCACATGATGGAGCCAAAACTACTGCACGGTGGATGGACGCCACCATATGCTAGCAGTGTTGGAAACTGGTAGCGTGACCCTCAGCTCCAGGGTGAAGTTGTTTTTATTCCACCTTAAGACACAAGCAGCTCTAGGCCAAAGGCCTATTGGCTGGGGTGGGTTTTCCCTCCCACAGGGCACTGAAAGGCATCTCATCCAGGCCTCCTGGGGAAGGGGGAGGAGGATTGTTATGACAAGAGGGAGGAGAAAAAGTGGGATCAGAAGAAGTGCACCAGCCTACCTTCAGATGTGGCTTGGGTGATGGGGAATCCTTGGGGCTTCCTTCACCCATGTCTGAGGCCAACAGGAGGGGTGTGGGACTAGCACCAGCAGGCGGCTTGGGGGGCAGTCGGCTGGGGCTGGTCTTTAAATTGCTGGAAGAGAAGCTCTTGCTGGCCTGTTGAGTCCCCCACTGTGCCTCCCCACTGGAGCTGACCAACTCGCTGGAGGAAGAGGAGGAGTTGGTGGACAGGCTGGCTGGGGCTGCAGGGCTCTCACTGGAGGAGACGCTGGCAAGCGGAGTGTCTGTGCAGGAGATCTTGGACGCAGCTGGCACATGGACCATAGGTTCGGAGGAGCTCTTGGGCACTGAAGCCTCATCCAAGTCACCAGCAGCCTTGGCTGAACACTCAGAGTTGATGCTCTCGAGGCTGAGGGCAGGCGATGGGGCGGAGGAGGATGGCTCTGAGTGCGAGAGCCTGGAGATGGGGTGGTGAACTACAAAGGAAAGAGAGAGGTCAGACAGGAACTGTGGAGAAGCCAGCAGAGCCCTGACTTGACTGAAGTACAGTCATGTGATCAGGTAAGCGTAGGCCTGGACAAAGGCTGGTGCAATGCATGCACGCAGGCAAGGCCTGAAGCAAGCATATGAGAACATGGCTTCCTGGGCTTACGGGAGACAGGCAGAGAGTGACCACAGTGAGCAAACACGATAAACTAGATCAGAACTTTCCAGCAGATGTGTAAGACCCAGCCTGGCAGTCCTAAAACCCTTAGCCACAAAGAAGTTAACAAGTTACACACGTAGCGGAAATAGAGACGGGTAAGTCGATCAGTAGCGTAGTTGAGGTTAAAGAATAAAAAAATAACGTAGTTCTATACAATGAGGCTTCGTCTAGACTGGCATGATTTTCCGCAAATGCTTTTAACGGAAAAGTTTTCCATTAAAAGCATTTGCAGAAAAGAGTGTCTAGATTGGCACGGACGCTTTTCCACAAAAGCACTTTTGTGCAAAAGCGTCCGTGCCAATCTAGACGCGCTTTTGCACAAAAAAGCCCCGATCGCCATTGGCGCAAAACAAATCTGAGCTGTCTACACTGGCCCTTTTGCGCAAAAGCTTTGCGCAAAAGGGCTTTGCCCAAATGGGAGCAGCATAGTATTTCTGCAAGAAGCACTGATTTCAGACAGTAGGAAGTCAATGTTCTTGCGGAAATTCAAGCAGCCAGTGTAGACAGTTGGCAAGTTTTTCCACAAAAGCAGCTGCTTTTGCAGAAAAACTTGCCAGTCTAGACACAGCCTGAGTGTTTAGTCATAGTCATGGGCGACCAAGTCAAGCCTAGCATAAATATAGGTTTAAGCAAGGCAATCATTGGGAGGTAGTGAGCAGGACTGACCCACAGGTCCTGCTTGTCGTAACTCGATATACAAGACTCTTCACACCAGACACCTTGGACCTCCACCCTGTGAGGCTGGGTGGGAAGCAGGATCTGGTGGCACAGAGCCCAGTGACTTTGACATTAGGACTTGACCTGCCTGTGGAGAAGTGAAAGCTACGGGGCTGCCTCTCCCTGTTGTCCAAGGAGGACAGAGGTGGGAGTTTTGTGTAGGATGGTTGGGCACAGAAGGGTGTGGGAGGGACTCACCAAGCGGGGAGGCACTGGGGGCTCGTGGAGCTGGCCGCTTCTTTGTCTTCGGACTGCTGGTGGGGGTGATGCCATACCAGGGATGAATGGGTTTTGTTGTGCTCTCACTCTGGTCCTGCTTTGGTGTGTTCTTTGAGGCTGCACCTTCATCCTCTTCCTCCTCCTCCTCTTCAAAGGGGTTGTAGAGTTTGGACTCACTGCTGACGGATCCACTATCCCCTTCCCTCTCTTTTCCCTCCTCCTCTTCCTCCGAAGCCTTGGTCGGGGTGCCCAGGCCACTGCCGGGGGCGGGAGGAGCCGGCTTCCTCTTGGGCTCTGCTTGGACCAACGCAATCCACGGAGGGTCCTTTGGTCTCACAGCAGCTCCGGATCTAATTGAAGAGAAGAGTGGGGTCAGCAGCAGCTCCTGTCCTATAGGGTGGGGCCAGCCTCCCACTCCAGACATTGCAACCCACCAGGAGTCTCAGCACCACTCAGGTTTTCCCCAACTGAGCCTCTGTCAAAATAGGGCAATGCTGCAATCGCAACACCTGGGGTAGGAAGCTAGGCTCAGCCACATGGGACAAAAGCCACCAATGGTGGGTGGATGGGCTGGGATGTTCTCCAAGCAAGATCTCCTCTCCACACTGGGCTGGAATTAGGGTCATGGTGCCAGGGCAAAGAGAACAGCTGAGGGTGGCTGGTGCCCTCTCAGCAGGGCAAGGAAGAAGCAAAGGACACTGGTCTAGGATTCTTCCCCCTCTCCCTCCCCTCAAAATCAACCAAATAGAATTGGTGGGTGAGCTTAGGAAAGTGCCTGGGAAGTACTAATCTGGAACAGAACTGGGATCTCGTGAGGCCTCTCCCCAAGCCTTAGCCACAAGGCCCTCCCTCCCCACTGCCAGCTGATAGCCAGACTGGGGTGGAACTGGAAGGAGAATTCCTGAGTTAACCGCACCCATAAACCCCTATATGGTTTCAGGGCAAGCCAAAGGACCTACCGATCTGAGGACGTGGGTCTTCCTCTCGGTTTGGGAACCGGGGGGCCAGGATCAGGTACCCGCCCTAGACAGGCATTGGAAAAAACCAGGACACATGGTCATAAAAGCAAAAGGCCATTAGGAAGCAGATGAAAAGCTCTCTGGATATTCCTGTTGTCTGCTGGCTGCTCCTGCTCTCTGCAGATCCCACAGCAACAGCATTTCCCCCCATGGCGCAGGGGTGTGAGCTCCAGCACACAGGCCAGACGCCAATCTGGGCGATCTTGACAATCAGAAGACCCCTCCCCGCAGCCACCCGCCTCCCCCACTTCCTGCATGCTGGGAAACAGCGCAGGGGCGTAGCCACAGGTGGGCCTGAGTGGGCTGTGGCCCACCCACTTCACATCCAGGCCCCCCGCACCGGGGCTTACCCTGCTCTGCCCTGGTGCTCCAGCCTGGGAGTGAGGTCAGGGCTTCCCCACCCCATCCCTCCTGTCCTGCTCCTCCCCATGCCCATTCTTGCCCAGCCACCCGAAGTCAGAGTCCACCCAAGCAGGGCCTTCTGGCTATGCCACTGGAGCAACGCTGGGGGGAGTGGCTGCTGTGCTCCCCACGGAGGGTGAGCGACTCCCACTGAGACACTCTGCCAGGCACAGATACAGCATAGCACTAGGGCACCAGACCCATCTGTGCTACTCTTCCCTTCTGGGGACACCTGGCAGATTGAGGCTCAGTGATCAAGACCCAGGATCAGTCAGAGATATGGGGTGTCAGTTTAAGAGGGGCTGGAAAAGGGCATCTCTGAGCTCTGTCGGGGACAGAGCGTAAGTTGCACTGCAACAGGGAAATGGGACCACCCCACACACCGTCCTTGCACCTTCTTACCATTCACTAGGCCCAGCCCTGGCTCAGAGGCTTCACTCTGCATGCTGGATCTAGGCCGAGGAACGGGGTTGGAGCTTGGCGGTGATGGCGCTGCTGCGTCTGTGCTCCTCCTCGGGGCAGGGGTGGGACGAGTGTCCTTGAGCCGTCCGTCCAGCGGGCTGGCTTTGTCCTGGCTGAGCATGAGTGGTTTGCTGGGGAGAGGAGGCCTGGGTGGCGTTTGAGAGCAAGGCTCAGAGCAGGGCGTTTTGTTCTCTGCACGGACAGAGGATGCTGCCATCTCTGCTCCATTGGGTGCACGGCCCTTCTCCTCCTCTTCGGGTGGGTGGCTTTCTGATGCAATTGCCTGGGGTGTTTGAACATGGTCCTCTTTCCTCTCCTCTGCCTCCGAGGAGGATACATCCTCGCCCACAGTGGCTGCCCGAGCCTCAATCCTCTTGCTCAGGTGCTCCAGGTCAGGGCTGGGCCTGCCCCCTGTCCTCCCACTCAGGCCCAGTTTGCCCCAGTGCTGAGTGCACACGAACGTGCCTGACTCTGGTCCAGGCTTGTAAGATCCAGGGAGCAGTGTGCTGGAACATTCCTTACACCTGCCAGAGACAAGCAAACTCCCTGAGACGGTGGGAAAAGGGCCTTCTACAGGAGGGGAGATTTAGAAGGCTGAGAGAGGAAGAATGGTCATATGATTAGTGCACTAGACTGCGACTCAGGAAAGGGGGGCTCAGGGTATGTCTACACTACCCTCCTAATTCGAAATAGGAGGGTAATGTAGGCATACCGCAATTGCAAATGAAGCCCGGGATTTGAATTTCCCGGGCTTCATTTGCATAAGCGGGGCTCCGCCATTTTTAAATCCCCGCTCGTTCGAACCCCGTGC